ACACCTTTTTAAAAATGCAGCTGCATTCTCTTAGCTGTCAGTTTTTCTATTCTCAAACTATATTACAAGCTGTCATTTTATAACAACTTCCTAAAGGAAACAAAATGCAGTCAAATAAATATGTTACCATAAATAGGTAGAAAATTCTTAGTTGAAATTTTTGTTTTTTGGGGAAACATTTTAAAATTTATTTAATTCAAAATGAAGATTTAAAAAAACAAAAAGTACTACCTCCACATAAATAAACATAGAATTTTTGATTTAGATTTTTCCTAGGAAAGAAAAATGTTTAAACCAGAATCATTGAGAACTAGAGCTTAGAAGTGCCACCCCCCTTTTAACAGGTGAGTAAACTAAGGCCAGAATGGTTAGGTTACTTGCTAACATGTATACAGCAGGCATGAAAGGTGGGACTGACACCTTAGTTCAGTGCTCTTATTATGCCCTGCTGCTTCTCCTGCTTTCCTGGTTTGAATATATAATAATAGCTAATATTTATTGAAAGCTTACTGTGTGCCAGGCACTTTTATAAGGTTTCACATATATTATCTCATTTAATCCCCGCAGCAACCCTAGATATGATGGTCCCTATTTTACAGATGAGGAAACAAATAGCAGATGTGCGTTGTTTCTATATTTAGGATGAAGAGTAGAAATACTTCTTTTTTAGCTAACTTATGTCTTCTAATTTTTATCCATTTCTTTAGAAGATTATGGTGATGTTCTATAGCCTTAAAAATATAGTTGCAGTATATCCATAATGGAAGTCCTTTTCAGTAGGATTACTGCTACCACCTCATTGTGATTGTATCTTATGTACCACGTCATCTACCTCCTAATTGGTCTTCTAACTTTTAACCTTACTCGCCTTCCGTCCTTATATGCTACATGTCATAGTAGAGTTAGCTTTCAAAAATGCAAGTCAGAGGGCCGGCCCGGTGGCGCACTGGATGGTGCGCCGCTTGGGAAGCATGGCGGCGCTCCCGCCCGAGGGTTCGGATCCCACATACAGACCGGTTCCCGCTCACTGGCTGAGCGAGGCGCGGGAGCAACGCCGAGGGTTGCGGTCCCGTGGCCGGTCCCCGGTCCGGTGCAGGGGCAACACTGAGGGTTGCGATCCATTGCCGGACACGGAAAAAGACAAAAGACAAAAAAAAAATGCAAGTCAGAGCACATCACTCCCATGCTATGACAATATATGGCTTATGGCAGCATTACTCATACCGAAAGACAAAATTTCCATAGGATTGTAGATACAGTAGCTTTGGTGAGCAGCTACAACTATTTGGTAATAGGAGCTGTATCTGCAAAATGAAATACTTCATAGTCAGAAGAGATAGTGACCAATAGAAAAACAGGCAAATGATGTGAATAGTCAGTTCTAGAAAAGGAAAGAATTACAGCTGTTCAACAATGTTCAAATTTATTTATAAGAGAAATGCAGAATAAAACGCAACTAGAAATTATGAAATATCTCTGAAAGGACACAGTGAAAAACATTTGCCTTTGGCAAGGGGAACCATAGTAGGAGACAGGGATAGGAGGATTACTTCCCATAATATACCCTTTTTAATCCTTTGGGAGTAGTGCACAGTTGCATGAGTCCTGACTAATGTGGATTTGACATATCTGAATAAAAGACAGATGTAGAAATAAAAACTAGCTTGTTCATTCTAGCTGGAACCTGCATCCACAATATCCAGAATAGAATGTGTGGGATTTTCAGGAGTTAAAAGATATTCATGGCAGTTTATGAACCAATTATCATCATAATCTCTTACTTTTATGTATCACTTTACAGATTATAGGACACTTTCACATGTTATCTCAGTTGATCCATGCAGGAACCTTATCTTCATTTTAAGATGAAGGAATGAAGGCTTAGAGGAATTATGTTTTCCCGAAGGTCACACAGCTAGTTGGATTCAATACACACTGCAATATATTTATTTACCTATCTGTCCCCCCTACTAGGTTCTGAGCTAGTGACACAAAGAAGACTGTAAATTAGGGCTTCTATTCCCAGTTGACTGCTGGAAGATGATGACCGCTGAGAAAGGAGTCAGGGAATTATGTCATCTTCCCCTTTTCATGGTCTTGGGGACAGAGGGAAAAGGGTGCAGCTCATCAAAAACATAAAATAAGATTTCAGGAAACTCCCGTAAGTGGTGCCATTTCAAAAGTATACAGAGAGAAAAATCAGCTTTCTAATATTAATTTCTCTGTGAAGAGGTGGATTTCATACCTCATACAACTTTGTCCCTAAGTTACAGGAATTTGAAGCTGTGTCACATTTTGGATGAATTTAGCTTTAAGATTCCATCTCCTTTTGGAGCCTTTTTACAAACTTGATTTTCTGCAAAATGCCACTGATAATTGAGATAGTTCAAGTAGAACGTGACATGTGTATTTTTAAGGACTAAGTGAAATAGAAATAAAGAAATAACTTGGCTAAATGAGACTCCTTAGAATTCACGTGAATGAACCCATAAGCCTGTAGTAAGTGTCCCAGAAGTAACAATAACTGAAGGATATAGTGTATTATCAGAGGTTCTAAATCCTTTGGTTGGACACCTTCATGGTTGAAGTGAAATTTAATGGTAACTAAAGGACCTATGTTATTTTCCTTAACAATATATGTTATTTTCCTTAATAAACAGGAAAGCAGATTCTCATCTAAATGGGGCAGGGGGAGAGACATGAACAATCTGTATGGAATTGAAAAACATTTTTTTGTTAAACAGGACTCTATCTAAAACTCTTGAGAATTTTATAGTAAAGCTCAGATAAATATTTCATGTAATATCCTAAGATGCAATCACTTATAGCAATTTTAGTGCTCTGATTTCTGTTTGTTTTCAGATTTGAAAAAGCCAGTGTTTTCTATAACTATGTCTGAGAGCTGCCAATTGAGTCCAATTTCATAAGACGTGTCTTTATAAATTAAATAGGATAATAAGGAGCAGCTCTACTTACTTTTAGTTTATGTCTATCTCTTTAGACAGAAGCAATGTCAAAAGATCTCTTTACTTGCTGAAATGTAAGCCGTGTTCTTTGTAAACTATGACTTACCATTTAACCCTCTAGGTTTAAGCTGACCTTAGATCTAGGCATTGTCTTACTCCCAAATGTGTTCATAGACTTTCTTTGGAAGCTGCTGCTCTAGGTTCTCTGGAACAGGCCAAAAGCCTGCCACTCTCTAGGTAGGGTCGTCACATGGTAACACAGGTGGTCTCACCAGTGCCAACTCCTGGGTTCAAGAATTGTTTTTCAGACTGCCCTTTGTTAGTATGTGAGTTTGATAACGTTTGGTCTTCCTGGATAAATGTCTTGATTTGTGGCTCTCTTTGTCCACATGAGTATTTCACAGCTTATTCTTCATACTTACTTACACTTGCCTGAAATACTGATAAGTGGATGTATGGAGCAATATACTTCTGCATAATTTCAATATTGATTTTGTTTACCCATTTGGATATCTGCCCACCAAATCCTACAGTGTTGTGCTCAGCACTATGTTTGGTGCATAGTTTTTGATACCTACCACGTGCCACCCACTGCTAGGTTCTTAGGATGCAGCCGTCAAGCCAGACGTCACATTTGCCCTCATGAAGCTTGTTTTAGTGGGGAAGAGAGATGATAGTGAGTCAGAAATAAAAGGAAATGATTACAGATTATGAAAAGAGTTATGAAGGAAGGTTGGTATGACTTCAGATTGGGTGGTCGGGGGGTGCTGACCAATAGTATGGGAAGGACCCAGCAGTATGGAGAGCAGGTAAGGAGCATGTAGGAATAGGGGCACTATCGGAAGGCCACTATGCTTACAGGGTAGCAGAGGAAAAGAAAGTGGCAGGAAATGGGGTTATAGTGAGAAAGGCAATTGCCAGACCACATAGGATCTCATAGGTGAGTCAAATGTTTGCATTTTATTCCCAGGTTCAGTGGGAAGCCTTAAAGGGTTTTATACATGGGAGAGATATGCTCTAATTTCATTTTTATTCTTGAAAGATAATTCTAGCAGCTTTGTGAAAAATTAATCAAAAAGAGCAAGATGGGGGTGGGCAAGGGTGGGAGAGTTGAGGCTGAGGTGTTGGTTAGACCACTGCAGTGTGCAGCCAAGAGAAGACAGTAGCTGGGACTAGGCTTTGTAGAAGTGGAAATAAAGAGGAGGAGCAACTCAAGATATATTTGAGAAGTAGAGTCAACAGGATGTGCTGATGGATCGATCACACTTAGAGGAAAGAAGGAAAGGGTGGACTCGTGTGTCACATGTTTATGATGGGACATTGGGTGAGTGGTGGTGCCACTTGTAGAGGTGGTGAAGACCACAGGCAGAACAGGTGTGATGAGGATCTCAAACCTCAGTGTTCTGTTTTGAAGTAGAATGCAATTTAAACTCTCCGGTTGTTTACAGTTTACCTCTAAGGGATAATATGAATCAGGTATTCATAGGTCCCCAGGTAACTTAGTCAAGTTGAACAGTTGTCACTCTAGGAGATCGTAGGGCAGAAAAGCAGCTCTGTGCAGGGAGGAGCTGAGTGCTGAGTGCTGCCATGGGTTTGCATTCCAGAGATCAGGACATGAGCAGAGGCTCTGAGGTGTGCGTGCACAGTGTGCACAGCCTGGTAGGAGTGGAGGGTTTGCAGGGAAGGGGTTCCTAGCTCTTGCTGTGGCTTTTGGTAGGGCTTCATCTGTAAGAGCAGTTAAGGCTGTGCTTACCTTTTCTCCCCTTTCTCCCTTTTCCTAGTTCAAATCCATAATCTATTGGGTCCCTAGATCCCTAATGAAAATTGAGGGTTAGGACCACAGAATTCCCATGATGTCCTCCCAGATAGTCCACACTGACTCTGAGATGTTTTTAGATGTTTCTGTGGGGGAATCTCACAGTACTAACCTTCTCCCCATTTACCTTCCACTCAGTTCCTTGTAACATATTTGTGTATGCAGATCTTATGAAACACCTACCTGCGTTTACATGTTTCCATTTATTTCCCACTTAGGTTTTATGGCAGGCACACAAAGAAACCCTCAGATGTCGCAATATGGACCTCAACAGACAGGACCATCCATGTCTCCTCATCCTTCTCCTGGGGGCCAGATGCATCCCGGAATCAGTAGCTTTCAGCAGAGTAACTCAAGTGGGACTTACGGTCCACAGATGAGCCAGTATGGACCACAAGGTAAAAAAAAAAAATAGTTTCTCCAAAATGCATTGCTGTAGGCTATAGAAATTTGGTAGCTAGTCTGTCACATTTTTAGTATTATAAACATATTTTAAGACACCATTATTTGTTACCTGTCAGATTTAACAGGGTAATGTAAACCCACAGTCCTTTAGTTGCCCATAATGATGGGAAGAATAATTACAGCATTTATGCACAGACACTGTGGCAGGGGCTCTTCCTACACGTCTTATTAATAAAGGAATAACTACTTTCTCTAAGGCTTATTGAGAAAAAGTCATAAGCCTTGTCCTCAGAAAGTTTCTGCTGTAAAACTTGGGCTTTGTGGTGGTGAATTCTATTTTGCCCCTCCCCCTCTGTTATCACCTGTAGAACCCCGAGCTCACTGCTCAGAAGGCTGTCGCCTGGTACATCCCTCCTATTTTGTCTACAAGATGCTCATTTTCCCAGTCTTCACCAGTCTGACTCTCAGAAGACAGGACAAAGCCTGAAATGGATGTATGTCTTTCAAAAAGAAGATAAGGGAAGAGTAGAAAAATAGGTGGGACCTTGCCCAAAATGCACTGTTTACACTCTGCCTTCCTGGAAATTGATGTAGGTTTTGTCAGTTACACATAGAATCCTTCTATCAAGGTTTTTAACATGTCATATTTTTTTTCTAAGTCACTTGAATGTAAAACATTTGAACTTAGCACCTTATTTATATTTTGCTTATTTAAATTAAACATTAATGGATAATTTAGAGAGAATGAGATCATCGGGCACAATTCCCAGAGTTACCTTACTTCTGAAAATACCAGGGATACTCCAAGTGAAGATGATGAATGTCCACCAGGAAACTGTAGTAAAATATTTGCCACCTCCACAGCAAAGCCCGCTCTGCCTCTGGTAAAGCCTTAGTATCTTCCAGAGGAATTTGCATCTGTTTAGCAAACCGAGTTACCTTGCGTCTTGTGGAGCCTCACCAGCTGTCAAGTGCCTGTGAGGCAGGCGCTTTCTCTGCCTTTTACCTGGCATTTTTCAGAAAATCTGCACCTTACAGTTTGAAAATGAGTTATTGTTATATTGTCTTGCTTTTGAAGATCTTTTTCTGAAAGAATTTCAGCATTTCCAGTGCTACCAGTATAGCATTGCTTCTTTGCTTTACGTTGCTTTGTTGTATTTATGTTCCAGCTATTTCTGTTGTAGGACAGCTATATTAGAATACCTCAAAATAAAACTTTTCGTATAGTCCCTTCTTGCCTTTGCCCGTATGCATGTAATCAGAGAGAATACAAACTTTTGTGTTTTACTTGATTCCCTTTATACAATGTCATAAACACTTTTCCAGTTATTAATCCCAGTAAGCCTTAGGAATTTAAGTCCCAGTTGCAGTAATTCTCCCTGTCAGCCCCAGGTAATTGTGACAACAGCAGTTTGTCACTGAGATGATGAAGGACTGTGAGTCATTCACTGTGAGAGAACCTACCTGCCCACCACCCTCACTTGGCTGGGTATCTTCAAAACTGGGTTTCTTTGTCACCCAAGAGGTCATTCTTTGGCTGTCGAGGAAAGAAGAAAATTTTAGTGATAGTTGGAAAAGCAGTTTATAAGTTGTGGTAGGCACAGAAAATGTGGACTTTTGCTCAGAATGTAATTGGAGACAAGGTTGGAGCCCCATTCTCAGAATTGGAGGTGGCTGAATGTCTAAGACTTAACCCTTAAAATCATGAGGGCTTCATGCAACTTGAAATTGGTCTCTATACTCTTAACCAATTCAATCTTGGAACTACTACTGCTTAATAAGTGAAGACTGAGCCTTGGACTATCTGGTGAGTCTTTTGTGAACAACTAACGAAGAACTTATGCTATAGGAGTTAATAGCAGGGAAGGTAATTTCTATTGAATAGATTGCTTTTTTGAATAAATTCCTCAGTTTTCCAGAATCATTAAATATGAAAACTCTTAATAAGAGTACTGAGCCCGGGAGAGTTCTCATCCAGACTGCTGTGTCCTTGGAAGATTGATCACTCTCTCTCTGAATTACTGTTCTCTCGAAAATGAGAAAAGTGGGTTGTATTACCTTGGAAGTTGCTTCCAATCTGATGTTCTATTAGCATATTGTCGAGAAGGGTTTTTTGTTTTGTTTTGTTTTAGGCATAAATACTGAGTGTAGGTTGATAGTAGAAACAACTTGAAACAAGGATAACATTTTCCATTCTTAGCACTCTCGAATGTTTGACCACTGGCAGCGTCACTCCTTCCCAGTGCCTGTGTCTCCATGCCCCGTGCCCTCTTCTCCCTTGCCGCATGGCATCGCCACCACAGTCCACTCTGGGGCGTGGATTGTCCAGGTTCCTGTACTGGCTCTAATTGATATGTGCTTAAAAATCAATGTCCTTGTATTCTCTGTGTTCACATTAAAATCATTTGCCTTTTCCTCCTCGGAGTCTCCTTTCCTCAGTAAACACTAAATGACAGGAAATCACGCTTGCAATATGTATTTTTCAGTTCAGCAAATGCTCTTACCTTTGCTTTCTGTCTTTATTGATCCTTTTAAGTAGGGACCCAATAGAAGGGTTTCCTTAATCTTCCTCCTCTAAATTGAGATTATTATTCAGCTTGCATCTTCATATTATAAGTTTAATGTCTCTGGAAAGACTCACTCGTACAGTCACCCAAGAGGTCATTAGTCTCGTCCTTCTGTTTCTGTTTTTAACTAAATGACTTTCTTCTGGTTTCATTTTGTTTAAAGAGATCTCAGGGGGAAATATTTTCCACCCTCTTTTTGCTAACCATTTTATTGTCAGGAGCAGCTTCTCCAAAATTGTTATTACTAATAACAACCCAAATTTATTAAACATGTTACTCTGTCCTGGGTCCTGTTCTAAGTGTTTTTCATTTATCAACTAATTTAATCCTCACAACATGCTATTTGATAGGTACTGCTATTACTCTACAGAGGAAGAAACTGAGGCACAGAACAGGTAAACATGATTTTGCCAGGATGCACAGTGGCCAAGCCTGGATCAGGCTGGCTGACCTGATCTCCTAATTGATGGGAAGCCCCGTGAGGTTAACCCCAGTACACAAATGAGAAAACCAAGACCTTGAGAAGTTAAGTAATTTAACCCTGACCCCACAGCTAGTAACTGGGGTTCAAACAAAAGGCGACTGTCTTCAGAGGACACTCATGGTCAGTGGCTGCATCCTTTCCCAGGCCTTAGATGTGCTCCCTTCTTGCTGGTTCATTCATTCAGTCAGCCATGAAGGAAACAAAACCAGGAAGACAAACTGCTTGCCTTCAAGGAGCAAGGAACACTTTAGGATTGCAAGTATGGAAATAGATCAAAAATACTAAAGAGAATAGGAATTTTTTCTTAAGTGAAGAAGGAAAATGTTAGAAATGTATGTTAATACCATAAAATTTGAATTATTAAATATACAAATGGGATGAAGCCAATCTAAATGTGTAAAAAGGTTTAATTACGGTATATTTTATGACATAGTACTTTTCTACCTTCAAGCAAGCATATAATAAGTACCCTTGCAAAGTATTTGCAAGGAGAGAGGACTATAGGGACTTGCTTTAATAAATAGAAATGAATTATGTAATTAACATGTTAATTATTAATAAATGAATTTATATGGGAAAAAGAGAGCTGAGATCAATCGAATCTCCACAGCCTCATTTATTTGTTAAGGACAAAGACTCTGTCTTGTTTGTTTTTGTATTGCCTAGAAAAGCATCTGTCACACTAAGCGTCCATAAATACTTTTTGCATATTTGTCACGAATTGCAAAAACTAAGAGTCTAGCCTTAGTTTTGCTGCAAATATGCAGTATTATTACCTTGTTGGGCAAGGAACAGTAATTCTGAGTCTAGATTGCCCCATTAGCACTCGCTTGTGTAATAGCAGCTGGGAGCCAGTGTGGGGCCACCAAGTGCAGCAACACGGGTCGTACTGACCCGGCCCTGGCTGTGTGCCTTGATTTATATTATGTGTGTCTTAGGAAGCAGAGGACTTACAAGGGAGGGAGTCTGATGAGCCTTTTATTTCCAAATTACTTCAGTAAGAGGTGTTTTTCAGAATTTAAAGGGTTTTTTTCTCTAAAGTAAATTAGATACCATCTGAAATCTTCCCTTTCCCTTCATTCATTAAATGTTTCTCATAAATTCAGCAAAGTTAAACTTTAAATAAGATTCAGTTGAAATGATTGCAATTCCAAAATAGTGAATTACACAGTAATAATGTTACAGCTGATTTGGTTCTAGAGGAACAAGGTGTAAATGTCCAAAGTGGTCAGCCCACCAGCTATGTGAGTGTACTGTAAAGGCCCGTGGTGTCACCATGACCCAGGATTTCAGTCTCCACACTTATCAGCCCAGACCCTCTGTCTTCTTATTGATTGAGCTCCATGCATTCTCCTTATACAGAGGTGAGGTATGTCTGCCCCCTGTGTTCATTTTGTCTGGTCAGACACTGAACGGTGCTAGAGATTGACATACCTATGTTCTTAGGCTTTCCAAAAGCTAGTCTCTGTGAAAGTCACTCCTGCTTTACTTTACTTATTTTTTTTTTTTCTTGAAACAAGTTTGTAATACACTTGATGGGTTTACAGCTGCTTATTACTTTAACCTTATTTTATGGTTAAATCAGAAGGATTAATTATTAAGTATAGAATATACTATTTTGTTTTATTAAAGAAATAATCTAAATCTCTTGCTAATATTAGAAAAAAACAAATTTAATTAGATCATTTTATAGCAAAAGGCAGGTTAATGTAATCAAACCTTTTGATGTTTAAATTTAGCCTTCAAGTTACAAGATTCAAGCATGAATTTTTCTTATACTGATAATCATCATGGTTTTGTCAAAACCTGGGAATTAGGGAAATAGTCAGTTCAAATGAGCTTAAATTGGAAAAAGGAAAAAAAAGTAATTTTAATTTTGACTAGTGTGAAGCTAATTATTTTACCTGGATAATTAAAATCAACAGCACTCAAGAGGTACAAC